CAAATAAACTCATCAGACAGAACATGGAAACATTTTGCCTAAACTTCTATGGCTATGTAATATTGTCTATATTTTCCAGCTAATTATGGAACCCAACTGAATTTACTCATTAATATTTTGTAATGTAAAATATTTAATATTTAATGTATGTTAACTAAATACCAGCCATACTCCCTAGGTGCTAAATATTTAGTGAAAAACACCAAGATCTTACCCTTATGTCTTATATTATTTAAAAAAAGACAGACATTAAACAATCACAATGACTATAGAATTTTAAATTGTTATGAATGACAGGTATATGGAACTATTGACTTGTAACAGGAAGGTCTAATTTGCATTTCAAGAGTCTTGCTAGGGAAGAGAATTTTGAGGAAATGATACTTAAATTGATACTTGAAAAATAAGTGGGAAATAGCGTGGAGAGTAACAGTAGAAGTGCTTCAGGAAGAGGCTGGTGGAGAGGTTTGGAGGCATAAGAGGTTCGGAACATTCATGAGTCGTGTGAGAATAAAGTATAATGCAGGAGCTTGTTGGCTAGTTTAAGAGATTGGAATATTGTCTAAAGCAGTGTGAGATCTTTGATAATAAAAGAACGCTTCTCATAGTCTCCGGAATTTGGTAGAGTCCTGTGGACACCTTGATTTTAGCCAAGTTAGATGCATGTGTGGCTTCTGAACTACTAAGGAAAATCCATTTGCCTTATTTCAGTCCATTGTTATGACACACATTGAAACTAACACATATGTATGAGGCAGTCTAATGGAAATATCCATTGAGCAACTGGACATAAATATAAACACTACATACTTACTGCACACATTGCACATAATGCACATAGTCACACTGAGACACATTATTTCAACTTAACCATCTATCAAGGGTCTGTCAGTTGATCCCACTTGTGGCTAGCAGGATGCTATGGTTCGGGAGGTTGTGGTAAACAGGGTGAACAACAATTTCCAGACGAAGAAAGGTGACCCACCGGAGGTGAACCTTGTTGAACAATATCCTTAATACAGCCTGCAAGTAAAATTTTGCTGAATTGCAACAGTCCATAAACGGAGCTGCTAGAAATTCAAGCTGAATTCAAAATAAAATGTGGAACGAGGAATATTGTTGATGCTAGATGGATCTTCACTGAAAATAGAGACTGCTGAAAAATGTTTACTTTGTTTTATTAACTGTGCAAAGGCATTCCACTATTTGAACAAGGCTGTCTTGGAGGTATAGTCAGAATGCTCCTTAGAAACTAGGATAGACAGTCTCACATGCTTCGGACAAGCTACTAAAGACCAATCCCTGAAAACTGGCATCATGTTTGGTAAAATAGAAGAACAGCAGAAAGAGGAAGACCCTAACAGAAAGCTTGGCAGAGCGGCTGCAACCATGAGCTCACATGTAAGAAGTGTGTGGTAAGGGTGGTTCAGGACTGGGCAGTTTTTCGTTCCATTGTGAAGTGGTTTCCTATGAATCAAAACTGACTCTAAGGCAGGTAAAAACATCAACAGTAACACCATCATGAAAGTTCAATTGTATGATGAATAAAAAATATAAATAAACTGGGCAATAGTTATTCATTCTGAGTGCAGGAGATCTTTTTGTGGACTTAAGATATCCTACAAATATTTATTTTAAAGGAAAAAAATCAAGAGTATAAATGTTATAGACTAAGATGCAGATGTTAGCCTGGGTTCTACAGAGAAACAAAGCCAGTATAGCGTGCGTGCGTGCGTGTGTGCGTGCGTGTGTATTAGAGAGAGAGAGATTTCAAAGAAACATGTCACCTGGTTGTATTGACTGACAGGTTCCAAATCCCTAGGTCACAGATCAGGGTGGAGGCTTTTCTTGGCTCACACAGCTACAGGAATTGATAAACCAAGATTGATAGGCCAGCAAGCAAGTTGCTGGCTATGGAAGTAAAGGAATCCAAAGTCTTCAGTTAAGATTGCAGACTGTGGGGTGCAAAGGCTAACAACTCTCAGAACTGGCAGACAATATGTCAGTCCAAAGCACTGGAGGTCAGAAGATAGTTAGCTAAGATACAGGATTCCATTTCAGCAAAAACAAGAAAGTTTTTCCAGAATGTCTATATACTTTAGACAGGTCACATTTCTAAGGAATCTCCTTTTTAACTGATTGCCTGCTCCTGGATGATAATCTCATTATAACGGCAATTATGTTATATTAAATTTCATCATGGTGGTAATGATATAATAATTTTCATAACACTTAGAATCGTGGACCATTCAAACTTTCATACAACTGTAAACAATACAATTTATACATATTATATCATTACATATAATACATATTGATGTTTATACATTACATAATTTTCCATTTACTTGATCACCTATTTCATTCACAAAGTTAGCAAAGTGCTATGCCTTCAATTGTGCTCTCTCAAGGATATGTTGACGTTATAACTGTCAGTAGTGGTGAATATGACCTTGTTTGAAAATAGGGAGTTTGAAGTTGCCATCAGTTAAATTTTAGTAGTAGTTTAGTCCTAATCCCATTCAATGGTGCCATTTTTAAATAAAAGAAGAGACACCAATAGAACAAGAACTCATTCTCATACTCTGCTTCAGGCCAAGGCAAGCCTAGAACGACTAGAAGGCAGGAGAGGCAGATGGCCAAGAGCCTCCCTCAAAAAGGTCAAGGTTTCTTTCTTAAAGAAGCAATCAACACAGCAACATTCTACTCTTTGACTCTCATCCTACAGAATTGGGAGACAAAAGTGAGTTTTTTAAAGCTACCCATTTTGTGCGTTCTGATGGCACTCCTCGTAATCTAAGCGAAACACAGATTCTACACATTGTCAGTGTGTGTCAAGGTGTGCGGGTGACCGTGTTCACTTGCTTACGCAAGATGAAGGCGCTTGTTTGTGGGTGCCACCGCGTTAATTCTGACTCATAATGAACCTCTGAGACATAGATTGAAAGATCGGCAGTTCTGCGCCATCCTCAAATCATCGGTATGTTTTAGCTCATGTGTTGCAGGCGCCGTGTTAATCCACCAAGCCTGAGCTTGCCTCCTTTTCACTGGCATTCCACTCTCCAAGAAGTTTGTCCAATGTTTTATACGGTAGATTGTATGTCAAGTTTAAACATAAAAGACAGCATGTCTATAGAAATTCCTTAACTCTTTTACAGCGTTTTTCCTCTTCCACTATTCCTGTAATTCAAAGAACGCACAGCACTCGGGAACTCCGCTAGAAGGCTGGCCATGTTGGGGGAGCTGGATGTGTGACTGGATATGTACGATTAGAACAGATCAGATTCTTTTTCACGCTTTGTGGTTATTAGATCATCATTTTGTTTCTGGCTCATAATGTAGCTAAGTGCTTTGTTTTTCTTCCTGCCCTTAATGACAGTTTGGGGTCATAATTAGATAGCACTTGACAGTTTCTAAGATAGATTTCAGTTTCTTTGGAAAACAATAGCAGAGATATCGACATAAAATGAGCAGTATTTGATGTTGAAAAATTATAATTTATGTAACAATTAATTGTGGCTGTTCTTACACTCACTGCCATTGAGTTAATTCTGACTCGTAGTAATCCTGTAGGCGGACAGCATAGAACTTCCCTTTTGGATTCCAGGGCTCTTTATCATTACTCAGAGAAAGAATGACATTTTTCCCCATGGGACACATGATGGCTTCCAGTGTGTCCCCCTCAAATTATTTTAGATATGATTAATTATCATAAATTCAATTAGAATAGTATTTTCTTGATGTTCACTTGTGTTCAATTGATGCAGTTATTTTGTGAGTACCCTTTTAGTGACTATAACTGTATATAGTATCAACAATCTTATTGTGTAGAGTTTTATACTATAATAATAATAAGGAGCCCATCCATATTATGTCACATTTATTTTATATATTACTCTCCCCAGACCATCTGAATAAAGTACTAAAAATTAGGTGACTTCTAAAAACAAATACTTACTATCTCATAGTTTTAGAGACTAGGAGTTAAATCAGATTCTCTGATGAGTTGAACCCTCCTGAGGGATAGGAGGAAATCTGTCCCCACCTTTCTACTAACTTCTGGCAACTGCCACAGGCCTTGGCGTTCTTTGGCTTAAAGCTCATTGCAACAACTCACAAGAGCAGCTCCCCTCTGTCTGCGTCTCTCTGTGTTTTTTTAATGTTCTCTGACAAGGATACTACTCATATTGGATTAAGAGCCACTTTCCACGAGTATGATCTCCTGTTAATGGACAAGACTTTCAAAGACCTCATATCCAAACAAGATGGCATTTATCAGAGGTTAGGGCTTCAACAATACAGAGTTTGATTCATAACGTTGTCTGGGTACTGTATTCTGCCTTTTAGAGCACAATATAGTTTCAAGTTTCATTTCGTTTAATCTAAATAACTTTCACTAATTCCATGATTACTTATTAATAGTCATATGTTTGTTATTTCAATATATTAGGCATTGAACCTAATTGGAACACTGACATCGTTAGCTATTTCTTGAATAACCCGAAGCAGCATAATGGAATTCGACAAGCTATGGTTTTCTCATTTCTCAGGCATAAGAGCATGATGAGTGCTCAAGGGGATCACATACACTAATTCTACCATGAAGAACACAGATAGGGAACGGAGAACCTTTAGTCATCACTCACCAAAATTAAGGACCAAACGTGATTGTCTTACCTTAAAATTAATCATTTATTAAAATACATATAAGATGGGGGACATTTTAGTAATTTTACTGTGTGCTGTTTTCTTGCTCATAATATAATATAACTTACTAGAAATATATAATTTTGTAATCTCCTTAGCATAACTTAGAGTATATTTGCTTTTATGTTTTAGACTATACATTAAATTACCATTATCTTTTCACTTTTCTCCTTAAAAAAAAAGATTCAAAAAAAGAGCATAATTCATTAAATATTTCCCTCTGGTAAGACAGTATTTGTCAACAGCATAGCCAAAGCTACCACGTGAACTTCTTTGTTTTTCATTTTGTTTAGGCCACAGATCCAGATGCTGGGATAAATGGCCAAGTATACTATAGTTTGGGTAACTTCAATAACCTGTTTCGCATCACATCTAATGGGAGCATCTACACAGCAGTGAAACTCAACAGAGAAGTCAGGGACTACTATGAACTCGTTGTTGTGGCAACCGACGGAGCCGTCCACCCCCGCCATTCAACCCTGACACTGGCCATCAAGGTTTTGGACATAGACGATAATAGTCCTGTGTTCACCAATTCAACTTACACTGTCGTCGTTGAAGAGAATCTGCCTGCGGGAACCACCTTCCTTCGAATAGAGGTGTGTGCAAGAAGCATTATTGCCATACATTCTGCATGACATTTTATCATTCGGGTTCAGGTTGCCAGATTGATAAATTAAAAATACAAGACACCAATTTAAATTTAAATTTCAGATAAACAATGAACTGATTATATATATAGGAATACTTGTATTTCATCTGACTACTGTACTCTGTAGCTATCCCAAAATGCCAGGGGAGAGAAAAGAGCACTTTGAGAAATAAAAGAAAACATTTCATTTATAGATTTAAAAAGTTTTACAAAGTATTATATATTTATTGCAATAGTTCTAGTGATACAAATGTCTATATAGAAAAAGCTAATACCTCTCCCCTTGTGTATATACTCATTATTAAGTTTTATATATTGTTTTTCATAGTTATCTTTGAACTCCCACAAATATAAAGTACGTTTTTTGCATATGGTTAAATTTGTGGGTACAAGCATATGTGCTCTGGTAAATACATATAGTCAATATAGATTATATATGGAGAGAGTTCCAAAAACATTGATGAAGAAATGGAATCAAGGTGATAGAATTGTTCCACAACATTTTCGAAACCTCTTTTTGTGTGCAAGTGTTTGGGATGTTACTAACCGCTGGTTTCTCTTTTGTTTTGTCTTCACTTCTGACGTATACACGTATACATGCACGGATTTTTCTAGGGTGCTTTTTCATAGTATCTCCCTATAAATGAGGGATCCCCAGTGGTTCGGTAGTTAAAGCGAGGGGCTGCTGATGTCAGCATTTAGAACCCAGTAGCTGCTGTGTCGGAGACGTGTCCATCTGCTTTTGGAAGGAGTGAGGGCTGGAAGCCTGGCGAGGCGTTCTCGGTCTTCACAGATTTGCTTTGAGTCAGAAACAGCTTGATAGCAGGAGGTTTGGTTTTTGTCTTGGGATCTATAAATATATCTTTCTAAAATCCTAGAATACAATTCATATGAACAGAAATGCCGGGCTTTCTAATTGGTAGGCTAACTTGTCCTCAAACACGCATTTTTAACAAGTACTGTATGTGATACCGATGCCAGTGATCTCCTACATGTTGGGAAAAGATAAACAAAACACTGCAGTCACCCACATCTTCATTATATGACTTAAAAACTGTCTTCGGTTTCAAGAAGCAGTATTTCTTTGATAATTCAAATGAACAAATAGTGCGCAATTAAAAAGGCATGCAACAAAACTGTTGCTGTGAAGTCTACTCAAACTTACAGCGATCCTATAAGACAGAAGAGAACTGTATCATGGGACTTCCAGAACTGCAATCTTAATTTCCACAGTGTCTCCTACAGAGAGAGGAGTGGATTCAAGCCCCTGAGTATGGAGTTAGATGCTGAGCACCCAGCGACTGCACCCCCAGGACTTCTTACTTAAGCAATAAATAATAATAAATGTCATCGAGGCAGATAGTGATCAGAGAGAGTCCCATTATTTCCCCAGTTTTCTATTGATGTATTCTTTCAGTAAACACATCCTAAATATTTTCTGTATTCCACACTTGCTGCTCAGTATCAAATGTGAACGAGACAGAATGCAGGCTTTCATAGACTTTTAGCCTGGAGAAGCAAACAGATACATAAACTGGTAACAAAAATAGAAGTTCTAAAGACATCAGGTCAGAGGGATCACAGGGGGAAACACAGGAGACAGAGGACGTTTCCTGAAGACAGTTGCTTTTAAATTGTGACCTGTGAGAAAAAGAGGTTTTATTCAAGTGAGACGGGCAGTGGGACAATGAAAACAGAGGGAAAAGAGCCTTTGAAGTCTTGGGAGATAAGCCGCCATGCATGCATACGGAGAAAAGAAAGGAGAGGGTGAGAAAAGAGGCTAATGAGTTCAATAAAGTAGGGTCCACCTCATCTTGTTAAGGAGATTAGAGCAGAGCCAAAATGGAAGGGGAAATCAGATGAATTTTTAGGCAAAAAAAAAAAGCAAAGTCAAAGGTGTCCTTTAATAATCTATTTCTAGAAACCTAGGATGGACGAAACTTATAGAGGTAATAACTAGATTAAGTGGGGAGCAATGGGGAAATAATATCAAGGAGTACAAGAAGGAAGAACCCGTTTTGAAACACATGTTGGTAGCGATTGTACACACTTTTTGATATGCCTGAATTATTGAGTGGTATGATATTGGGATTATGTCCTAATAAAATGGTTTTAATAAATAAATGAGTAAACAAATAACTAAATAAAATCAGACAGGAAAAACAAAACCCAACCAATATAGTTCTAGTTATGGTGATGCAAATAGATTAGCGAGGACCAAGAGTAAAGTTCAGGGAAACATACAGGAGAGGTTTGCATTAAAGCACATGCATTCAAATAAACCCTGAACTATCCTCATTCCACCCTTGCTCCCATTATTTTTAGCTTATGTGTCTTTGCCAATCTGTACTACATGTAGAAGGAACCATGCTACAAGCCTGCCACCCTCTGCATTAGAAATTGTCCCTCCTAATTCTGAACACCTTCCCCAGGCCCTGCCACTACCCTCTATTTTGGTATCTGGGTCATGATTCTTCTTGGAGATAGTCCTTTTGACCCATCGGCATACTCCACAGCACATGGTGCATAATTAGGGAACATTGATGTTGAGATGATTCTGACTCAGAAATGCAAGCTCTGAAATGTATTATAGAATACTTGTATGTTATTGTTCCTATGTTCCTAGCTTCTTTATAGCTTAGTAATCTGTTATAATCTTAGGAACTTCTCAGTTATATTTATTTTTACTTAAATACAATTTTTCAAGGCTATAAAATAGGGAGAAAATAATAAAATATAATCTATCACAATATTTATTCCATTATTGTGGTTATATAATTAATAATTTTCCAAGTAAAATAGATATAGCAATAAATTCAATAATGACAAAATTTCAAAGGACTCTTTCTTTTTTTTAATACTTTCATTGGGGGCTTTTCTATCTCTTATCACAATCCATACATTCCTCCAGTGTGTCAAGCACACTTGCACATATGCTGCCATCATCATTTTCAAAGCATTCTCTTCCCATTTGAGCCCCTGATATCTGTGCCCCATTTCTTCGCTCTCCCTCCCCCAACCACCCTTCCTCATGTACCCTTGATAAGTTATAGACCATTTTCCTCATATCTTACATTGTCCTTCGTCGACCCTCACCCACCTTTCAGCTATTGGTCCCCCTGGGAAGGGGTTCTAGATTGATCCTTGTGATTGGTTCCCCCTCCCCCCCACCCTCCCCCAATCATCCTGGCATCCCCACTCTCTTTGTTGGCCCTGAGGGGCCCATTTATCCTGGATTCCCCATGCTGTGGGCTCTCATATGTAGCAGTGTGCATGCTCCAGTCCAGTCTGATTTGTGAACGAGAATTGAGGTCATGATAGTTGGGTGAAGGAAGCACCAAAGAACTAAGGGAAAGTTGTGTGTCTCATCAGTGCTATACTGCACCCTGACTGTCCCATCTCTTCCCTGTGACCCCTCTGTGAGGGGATGTCCAATTGTCTACAGATGAGCGTTGGGTTTCCACTCCATGCCCAGCCCCCATTCACCTTGGGTATGGTTTTATTCTGGGCCTTAGATGCCAGATACCTGATCCCATTGACACCCCATGATCACACAGGCTGGTGTGCTTCTTCCTTGTTGGCTTTGCTGCTTCTGAGCAGATGGCCGCTTGTTTGTCTTCAAGTCTTTAAGACCCCAGATGCTATTCTTTTGATAGCCGGGCACCATCAGCTTTCTTCACCACGTTTGCTTCTGTACCCATTTTATCTTCAGCAATTGTGTTGGGAAGGTGAGCATCACAGAATGTTGGATTGTTAGAACAAAGTGTTCTTGTGTCCACCAAATCCCAAGGATGATGTTCCTGCTTGGAGTAGACAACGCACAGGGAGGACCATAGGGCTGGCCCCACCATGGGACATGGTGTCCCACACTGAACCATGGGGCGAGGCACTGAGGGCAAGCAGCAGAGCAGCAGGGGGAGAAGACTGATGAAACCCCTGGGGAATACCAAAAATAGACTTAGGAGACAGAATGTGGCATCCCATCAGACTCGACTGGAAAAACACTCGTAAAGGCCAACAAACAGAACTTGAACTATTTATAGGCTTTTCCATTTTTGTCAGTGGCTTTCTTTTTGTTATTGTTATTTTGTGTTTCCTTTTTTTGCTGTTGTTATTATTGTTTTGTTGGTTTTGACTTCCTCTTTTTTTTTTTTAAGGACTCTCTTGTTCTCCCTCTCCACCACAGCTACTTAACTAAATTACCTTACTCTAAAAATGCATCATTTGATCCTTGTTACACGCATGCTGTCCTGGGCACTGAAAAATGACTTAAACCAAGCCTGGATTATTTTATTTTGGAAACACCACTGATACAACCATCTTCTGCTTAATTTATTACAGGCCAAAGATGTTGACCTTGGAGCAAATGTATCTTATCGGATAAGAAGTCCAGAAGTGAAGCACTTGTTTGCACTGCATCCATTTACAGGAGAACTATCCCTTTTGAGGAGTTTAGACTATGAAGCATTTCCAGAACAAGAAGCAACGATCACATTCCTAGTGGAGGCCTTTGACATTTATGGAACGATGCCACCTGGTATTGCCACTGTCACAGTGATAGTCAAGGTAAGGGGATGCCTTCCTTTCTGGTTGACTGCTGTGTCTTTCTCGGTGTGTAGCTTCTGCGTTACACTGTTCCTGTGGTACCAGATCTACGGAATAGATTTTAATGTGAAGGATTTTGCAAATACTTGAGAAATAACAATTATTTAACAATAAAAGAAAAATTGGAAAGAGGAGAATTTGAAGACTATAGCAGCCTGATCCGGGCATTAGCTATAGATACTTCAAGTCATAAAATCTCCGGTCTGTAATTAAGTCTAAATTATACAGCTCCAGTAGTAATAACCCAAATCATAACTGTAAGAATATTAAGAAACAAAGGGGAAACAATAACAACCTGGCTTTGAAAAATCTAATGCATTTGAGCAAGTTAGTTTTGTTTAGAAACCAAACTCTGGAATAAAATGGGGTTAGACTCAGATATAATTGGGTTTAAAGGCTGACTAAACCTTTTGATGATATGTATCCTAAAGGATTTGGTCAACATTTTCCTAAACAGAGAAAAGGACACTTAAAATAAATACTGGGGAAAAGTGGCCGCCTCAAAGTAGAATGGATGGAATAAGCTTGTAGGACCTTCACATATTGTTAGGGCCCTGCTCAAAATGAGAAAATATGGCTGCAAGCATCCATTCATTGTAAGTTGTGGAATATAAGCAGTATGAATCGAGAAGCACTGAAAATCATCAAAATTGAAATAGAACTTATAAAAATGGACATTAGCTATTTGTGAGCTGAAATCTACTTGTCTTGGCCATTTTGAATCAGATAAATGTGTGACTGTATATGTAGTGGTAAATTCAAGTATAAGGGCATCATATTTATAGTCAAAACAAACATTTTGAGATCTCTCGAAGTATAATGCTCTCTGTGACAGGATAGTATCTATATAACTGCAAGCAAAACCAATTAATACCACTGTTATTATGTACCAACCACTAATACCAGCGATGAAGACTGTGAAGGGCTCTACAACCATCTTCATTATGAAATTGATGAAGCATACATTCAAGAGGCATTGGGAATGTAGATGTGCCACTGAGTGGATCCTGACTTATAGGGGCCCTATATAAAATTCCCAAGGTTCTCAGTATTTACAGGAACAGACAGCCTCATCTTTCTCCTAGTTAATAACCGGTGGCTTTGAATCACCTGACTTGCAGTTAGCAGTACAGTTCTTACTTAAAAACACCACACTTGGCCCCACAAATTGAAAGGATGCCAACAGAAATGTTTCAAAAAACTGATGCCTAGTTGAACGCATTCAATCATTTTTGCCAAGAAATTTGGAAGCCAGTCACCTGGCCAACTGCCTGGATGATATCCAGATTTGTGCCCATTCCAAAGAAATGTGACTAAAAAAAGTTCTGAACTTAGGGAACAATTACACCAGTATCACAGGCAGGTAACATTTTGCTAAAGATAATTAAAAAGCTGATGTAGTCATACATTGATAGGGAGCTGCCAGAAATTTAAGCAGGTTCAGAAGAGGCTTCAAACCAAGGATGTATTTGCCAACCGCAGAGAGTTTATTTGGTACCTAAAACCCTTAGAGAGGTGCAATTCTGCCCAGAATAAAAGAAGGCTCTTAGGAATTCTAATTTTTAACATGCTTTCCTTAAAGGGTTATAAAATATAGGATAGTATGCAAGCTCCTAGGGAACGTTCTTACAATGTTCATTTGTATGCAGAACTACCAATCTGAAACTGGTGAAAGAAGAAAATTTACTTTTTTTCTTGTTTAACTGATATTAAGCACATCTATGCAATTATTTTTTCTTGTGAATAAAATATTAAAATGAAAACATACAATTGGTACACATTTCACCAATGTGCAGGTATTATAACTATGTTTATCTTATAGATTTATGTTCCTAACCATATGACCTTTGACTATGGCTTTATTTTAGACAATTCTGTCATCTGAGTGATACAGTCAGATATACACTAAGTGATATCCTACTGTCTTCTCATAACACTTGGCTTAGATCTGTCTGTTGGGAGCTACAGTGTTGTTATTTCAAACTCTATCTTAGAAAGAGAAACACAAATGCATTAAAGCTGTCTGGGTTCTTCCTGTATCAGGTGTCCAAAATAACTTTCTATTTCCATTTGTAGCCCTCTATTTTAAGAAATGTGTCTATTTCAGAGGCTAATAACATTTATCATTTCTGTAATTTAAGTACTTCCGCTCCTCAGACATTTGTTCAGAAAAGGAGTTTGAACAATCAAACTCTCTTCTAGGGAAAGCTCTTGGGGACTTGTGGTTTTGCTCTTGTACTTCTCCTTCATGAACCAGATTCCAGATGAAGGATTAAGGGACAGCACAAATTGTGGAAAATCTGGGGACATTAATTTGCCTTTTAAAATATCACTTTACCACACACAAAACACTTGCTTAAAGTTACTTAGGGAACATGACAATATCGATGGTGATGAAGCCATTGTGGTAGATAAAAGAAACGGACACAGGTAAAATGGCAAGTTATCTAAATAAATGATAACTAAATGACTTCTGTACTACATAAAAAATTTCAACCCTCCTACCCTGGTCTACCCTGCCTACTGTATTGCCTGGTGAAATGAAATGACTGAAATTTTTAAAACAAAAAATTGACTTCCTTTATTGACAGTATTGGACAAAGAAGGGAAGAAAAGTCTTGCTGTCAGTTGCCCTCCACATTGTGTCTGGAGACGGAGTGTCTTATTACCTAGGACCTAAGATGGCTGAAACAAACTCTAGAAATTATATGTGGACTCCATGTGCCAGGGTGCCCGTTTACAACTGTAAGGATTAATCTGAAATCTGGATCTGCTGTGAGGGGGCAGCCGTTCTTGGCTATTTCAGTTCCAAGTTTCCTCCAGCAATTCTTACCATTCCTGGGATTATAGATGCACCTCTCTATATTATCTACCACCCCCTTCTCCCTGTAGATGTCCTGAGTCCTGGTCCATTTCAAAGTCAGAAATTATAAAATTTAGGATCCTTACCTATGGTGAATCATTCATTAGTATATCAAAAGAAACTTTACTATATTTAGAGATACACAAGTTAAGAATTAAATATATATATGTATATATATGAACTTAAAATATAACAATGGTGCAGCTTTATTTTCAGAAGTGATGTGAAACCCTTACACTTACAGATTTTTGATCCCATTAAGATTTACAGCCTTATCTCTACTTAAATATCACCTCAATACAAGAATGGTTTGTTCTAATAATGTGGCATTGTATGATACTCACCTTTCCAACATGACCATGAAAGACAAAATGGGTGCATCAGCAAATGTGGTGAAGAAAGCTGATGGTGCACAGCTCTTAAAAGATAGCGCCTCTGGGGTCTTAAAAGGCTTGAAGATAAAGAAGCGGCCATCTAGCTGGAAAGCAACAAAGCCCCCATGGAAGAAGCACACTAGCCTGTGTGATCATAAGGTGTCATGGGAAGAGGTATCAGAAGTTCAAACACAAGCAACCAAATCAATGTGAATGGCCTTGGATGTAGTGGAGACCCAAAACCCACCAGGAAAATAATTGGACAGTCCCTTTCAAAAGGGCCACATGGAAGGGATGATAAATCCAGGGTGATAGAGTACTGATGAACCATATTACTATCCTCTAGTGCTTCAATATTTCCTCCCATGAATATTATGTTTTTTATTTGTTTTACCTTATTAATCATGTTAGATTTACATATGTTCATTTGTATTTTTAAGAGTGTTTAGTACATGAAAATCAAGATAGATAGCCCTTCAAAAACAGTAATTGGAGCAATGGTTCACTGAGGGCCTAGGAAGAGGGGTGGGGGTGGGGGATAGGAAATAGGGAGCTGATAACACTGATGACACTCTGACCCCACTCGGTGGAATGCATAACAGAACAGTATGTGAATGGATCTATTGGATTATGTATGATATGGCAAAAACAAAAAATAAGTGCGTTATTTTAGGAGGGGAAATGGGTTCCTGGGTAGGGTGGAGGATGGGAGGATAAAGGGGAACTGGTATCAAGGAGTTCAAGAAGAAAGAAAATATTTTGAAACTGATTGTGGCAGTAATCATACAATACTGCTTTATGTAATTGAACAATGAAATGTTATGATATCTGTAAGAGCTCCCAATAAAATGATAATTAAAATTTTTAAATGAAAAAAAATATTTCCAGCCTTAGAATCCCACACGGATAATTCTATTCTGCCCCACAATTAGAATGGACTCATCAGCAGTGGGTTTAGATTGGGTTTGGTCTCTGTTTGGCTTCATTTACTTTGCTTGTTTTGGTGGAATATGTCTTTGGAGTTACGGTGTGTCAAAGGCACCATCTAAGTAAGGAAGATGTGCAAAACAAGTCCCATTTACCAACATTTTTTAAGTGAATAGTAATAGAATGCTATCATTTCTAATATATTTTTGTACAACAATTTTCAGTGAGACATGTTTCTTAATACGATGATATGCAGATTGACAGAACACATTAATGCAAGTGTGTGTTCTAAATCATTAAGGCACACCTACAAGAATAAGGCTTAATCCCACCACTGCCTTCAAAGTGCAATAATGTATTATGCTTTCTCTGTGTGTTTCCTGTTTCTGTTTCTCTTGCTTTTCTAACCCTCTGGATTTTTGTCCTTGGGTATATCATAATGTGACCTTCCAGGAACTGAATTCACCCTTGTGGTAGAATAATACACCATTAAGATCAAAAGACAGCCCATTAAGATCAAAAGACAGCATTGGCTCAATTGGCAATATTTAGTGGTTTTATCTTATGTAAAGAGCCATCCACCCCATTGCTCAAAGCTTGTACATTTATAATAAATATTCAATATTTAATTATAGATATAATGTGTTCACATTAAAAAAATAATTTTATTGGGGGCTCATACAACTCTTACCTCAATCAATACTTACATCCATTGTGTCAAGCATATTTGTACATTTGTTGCCATCATCATTCCCAAAACATTTGCTTTCTACTTGAGCCCTTGGTATCAGCTCCTC